TGTGTGTGTGTGTTTGGGTTTTGTCTTGCGAGATCACATGACAGAAAAGGTGCGAGGGGATTGGTGGATGACAGATATTTAAACCAGCTGGCGTCGACCTTCTGACCCCTCCCCCTCCTCCTCCTCGTCCTCAACACTGACCTGCTGACACCTCGCCGTGTTCTGTGTGTTTTAGCCTGCGTTAGGTTTTAGTGAGAAACCTTTGTTTTTGTTTGAAACCTTTTCTCCTGGCAAAATAAAATGCAACTTAAAAAACTATAATATCTTGGCCTTGGCCACCAAGTTTTTGAACATGAGGGTATTTTATGAAGTATTAGCCTTATGGTGATACTCATAGTGGTACTGCTGCATCCCTGCTGATGACACAGGGTTCACGCTCTGATATTTCCATAAAAATTTCCAGCTCTTCCAAATGTATTTTACTTGTACGTCTCTCCTCGTGGTGCGGCACGTACCACAGGGGGCGCTGGTCACATGGGCCTGACATTGTTCAACAGTGCAGGTCTCAGTGGGTGGACAGGTTCTGCTGTCTGCTGTGGTCTCCTCCATCTCTGGACACACTGTTTCAAAACATGTATCTGAATTGATCAGCTAAAAGTAAAATGTCATTTTATAGGAACCAGGTTCCACCTGCGTGTCCTCTAATTCAACACACGTGTGGAGGCAACAGCTGTGGAGTTTTTGTGAACCCTCGGGGTATTTCCCCTCTGTGTTTGCTCACGGACAGGCGGGGTTTTGGTCAGCTGGTCTTGGCCTTGTTCCAGGCTGCAGGTGGTAGCAGATGGGCTGGTCCTGTCCTCAGGTGCTCTCTCTGTGTCTGGACAAACTGTGGTTGGAGACACCAGGGCAGAGTGTCTTCAGAGCTGAGGACTTTGTTATCTGATGTTAAGAGATCTACAGAAAATGAAATTCCTCCTAACCCTAACTTTATTTCTCCTCCAGATCACAGTGTCCATGTTCTCCCCCTCTGTCCCCCTCTGTCCCCCTCTGTCCCCCTCAATGTCTGGTTTGAGACACGTGACTACAGTAGGACAACGCAGCACTGACTGGTCAGCAGCTTGTCATAGTGTGTGTTTGTGTTCCTTAGAAGAGTGGGGGTGGGCGGGGGTGCTTGCTGCACCATGGGAGTTCCCCAGCAGTCTAAGCCTATAGCAGCATAACTAAGAGAGTTTCCCCTGAGCCTGACCCTTGAATAGGATTTTTTTTTTTCAAAAAGGAAGAAAGTTGCTGGTCGACCACTTCTTCCTCTTTGTGTCATTCGTCTGAGCGACTGTTGTGTGTCAGCTGAATGTATGGGCAGATATCGCTGTGTGTCATCTGCACACAAGTTGATGGTACGGTTTCTAAGAACATTTGCTAAAGGGAGCATGTGTAGAGTAAATACAGTTGGATGGAGGGCTGAACCCTGGGAACTCCGTCATTTACTGGTGTGTATCTGGAGGGAGAGTTGGAAACATCAAGGTGTCGTGAGCCTCGTCTTAGGACGTGTGTCTTATGTGCGGTGCCTGAAGTGTTTTCTCCCCTTTTCTGCTGTCAGTGTATGTGTGTGTGTGTGTGTGTGTGTGTGTGGAGTTTTTATGAACCCTCGGGGTATTTCCCCTCTGTGTTTACTCACGGACAGGCTGGGTTTTGGTCAGATGGTCTTGGCATTGTTCCAGGCTGCAGGTTGTAGCAGATGGGCTGGTCCTGTCCTCAGGTGCTCTCTCTGTGTCTGGACAAACTGTGGTTGGAGACACCAGGGTCTGACATTGTTCCAGGCTGTAGGTCACAGCAGATGAAATGTTGTTCTCCACAGCTGCCACTTCTCTTCTTCCTGAGTAAATGAGTGGTTTGGACAGGAAGTCAGGACATGAGCTCCATCAGACTGGACCGACGACTCAACCTGAGCCCCTGTAATACTACAGTGTGTACTCACCTCCTACACTGAGGACTATGACCGCCAGCAGCAGGACGAAGCAGATCACTGAGAGAACTATACAGCCAACACGGTACTGGGCAGCATTTCCCTCCGTCTGACCACCTGTCGGAGACAACTGGACTCACGGTAAACTGCGACACAACAATAAGACCAGCAGAATTCAACCAGAACACCTTTGTTTTACCTTTGTCCCCGTCCACATCCACACATAACTCTGATGAGGAACGTTCCTTTACGCCTTCGTCTTTCTGAACCTTACCATAATTCCAGAGGAAATGAAGATACATGATGAAACAGAAGCTCGTACCCACTGGTTGCTCTGTCTCAGTCAAATGTGCCTGCAGCTCTGCAGTTCAGGGACCGCCCTCCCATCACCATAGCAGCAACTGACCATCCATCCATCCATCCATCCATCCATCCATCCATCCAACAAACAGACAGTCCTGCCTTTAGGACTCCCTGACAGGAGGACTCTGAGGAGTGTGGTTCCCCACACGCTCCGATCCTTCTTTTTGTAGAGCGGCGCCATCCAACGCTGTAGAGGTGTGTCACCTTAGACGGCCCCTTAAGATCCAGCGCTGTAAGAAACTGTGGGTAAGTCTTCCACCAAGGTGCTTTTTGACTGCTGTGGCAACCTCAGCCCCAGAGATAGAGCAGCCGGTCCTGGATCCCCGACGGTCTTTGGAGAATTCCCTTCCACTTACCTCCAGTGTCCTGAGTCGAGGTCCACGGCGATCCATCCCTACCCCAAGGTGTTGATGGTGTACTGCGTCCCCCTACCGAGGTTGGCAGATGGTGGACCAGAATTTCCTTGAATCCGTCAGGAAGTTGTCCAAACTCTTACCGTGCTCAAGTCTTCGCTTCAGCAACCGTCACCCGTCACCCGTCACAGCTGCGTTCCTTAGGGCCTGTCGGCCATCGTTCATCGGAGTCTCACAGACCATTGAAACACAGAAGAGTGTCAGTGATTGAAGATGGGCCGCCGCGTTCTGGACCGTCTGTAGCACAGCAGGTCTGAACCAGGAGGGACAGGCTAGTCCTGTTGGCCGAGCTACAGCTGTGTGAGCAGTAACCGCTACACTGTGGAACCACGGGCAGTGCTGGCTGCCGGAAGGTTTCAGGCTCGAGTCCGTCCCCACACGCTGCTCCCCCGGCGCTTAACGCTGCCCCCTGCTGACATTGGTGATGGGGAGGTCACATGTCGTTGTGTGTGCAGTGTCACAATGACAAATAATTCACTCAGTTGATCCACTAGGGGTCAGTGCTGAGTTCAGAAGTCAATTTCAGGCTGACGTCAGTTTCTCAGCTGAGATCAAACATGACGAGGGTGGAGGAGGTGATGATGTCACCGCAGTGGTTTTCTTCTTGCTGTCTGTTTTATGGACTTGAACTGAACTGTGCAACACACACACACACACACACACACACACACACACCCCCACCCAGTTTTCAAAGGTCTGTATCTAGAATCGTACCAGCGCTCACAAAGGACGGTCAAAGACTTTGTTTTGGGAACTTTAAAGAAACAGGATGTGAGGCAGTGGTTGATGGAGAAATGACAGAGTTAGTCACAGAGTTGTGGCCACATTATTCTGATCACTTATTGCATCAGAACAAAACAGGTTTGTCTTTACCTGGAGAGGATTTGAAGTGAGCGTCGGCGTAGACGTCCTCAGATGGACGACACAGAGCTGAGTACAGCTGCGCTTCTTCTTCCTCTTTCTCTGAGGGCCAGACAACAGTGACAGGTTTAAACTGGTTTAAACCGAGGGCAACTGGACGGAGAACTGAAGAAAGCTCGTGGATCAGAGGTGAAACCTCCTCCGTCCAGTTCCCCTCCATGTAACTGTGTGTGGATAAAGAGGACCTACGCAGGCTGAAGACACCGTGTGTGTGTGTGTGTGTGTGTGTGTGTGTGTGTGTGTCAGATCAGGGATCGTCTGAAGCCACAGCAAATTCAATTATGGCTGAAAACTATCTTTATTACAGTTAAACCGTGTGACTGAAACAAACTGGGCCTTTATTTTATGCAAATAAATACATTTAAATGAACAGAGTCTCATGTATTCTATGGTTGTTTACCAGCTTTGATCTTGGAGTCGGCCTGAGGTGGACCACCGATGGTAGAGTAAGGGTTTGGTTCTTCTACCAATAGAACACAGAACAAAACAACACAGTTCAACATTTGAATATCCAACACATGGTGACAGAACAGTCTAGAACCCCAGAGGATCTGGTTCCACTCCTACTGTACATCATACATACACAAATACAGCAATAATGAATGAATGAACTTTTACCATCATTCTGACCATTTCTGTCCAAATGATTTCGTACCTTCAGGTTTGATGTCCAGATGCAGCTCGTATTCATTCTGCTTTTCTCTGTCACCTTTCTTCTCTGCTTGGATCTTGTTCATCTCCATGGCTCCTCACTCTTCTTCTAACCTTCTGTTTGATCAAATCAAATCTGACCATTGACTCTTGATAGGGTGTTTCTTGAGAATGTGAAAGTGTCCAGTTAGCATCTTTGTTGATCAGAAGACAGACCACTTCCTCAATAAACACTGCTATATTTGCACTTCCCTGTTTCCAGTTGGTGGGTAATTTTTGAGGTCAGCTGTGAACGCCTCGGAGTCGGGCAGTGGAACGCTAACTTCTGTGACTGTGCTTGTTGTTCTGCAGCTACCAGTCGGTCTGGTCTGGACGTGGGGGAGGACGAGTGGACACTCACCTCATACACAGCAGAGAGGGGGGAGCTGGACGGGGGAAGAGAGTTGTTGACAAAGAAGAAGAGCGCCTCCTCTGGTCTCAAAGACACACGCTGACGGATGAGAAAGCACAACTGGCCCACTGAAAAAGGAAGGAAAGATGGGGAGAAAGAAAGGGTGAGTGAGACTCACCCCCTTCACTGACGTCATGTAACTGGGAAGAAAAACCAATCAATTCCAAGAAATGCTTTCATCTTCAAATGAATCATATCATATACAGTGTTGATACTGCCACCCAGTGGCATCCATTAGCTAATCTGACAATCAAAAATATGCACTGATGACAGGTATTCATGAAGTGACAGATACACTGTGGAAAACCCAAAGGTTCTGTGACGCTGGATCCTGGACGTACTGGACCACAGCCGTCACAGACACCAAGGGACTGCTTTCATCAGCAGAATAAGTTGAGACTCTTATAAATAAGAAGTTACTGATAAAATGTATGATTTTTCCACTGTAAATTTGCAATAAGAAATACACAACCCTTTTTATTGTAAAGTTAGGATTCAATTTATGACTATTGTATATTTCTGATACAATTTACGACATATTTTTCATCATTTACTGACAGAATTTATGACATTTTAAGTAAGATTTCAGATACATTTCCTGACTTTTTTCACAGTCCTGATAAAATTTACAACAATCTTGGAGTTTTATTTTTTATATGTTTTACTAGAGTTAGGTTAACTTTCGACATGTTAAGATATGAGTTTTGTTTTTTTAATTTCTAGCACAAATGTTGTCCATCTGAGCATGTTAAAAAATTATTATTATAGCACTGATAAATGTAACAAAAAATGTGTTTTTAGAATTTGAAGCAGAAATGTAGAAGTTTTTCCTGTTTATCATTTAGTTTGTCTTGTCTTGTGTTTCCTGTCTAATGTTGTCTAATGCAGCTACGTTTTAGAGACGTACTTGAACGCACCTCGTCCTTCGACTCTCGTTTTCTCCATGCGGTCGACATCGATTTGTTTTCCTTCGCCCTGGTGTTTCCTACACTCTCTAAGGGTGAGTTTGATTCTGTTATTCCACATCTAAGTGTTTCTGAATGTTAGTTTAGTCAGCACTAAGTTGATGTGAAGTTGTGCTGACCTATGGTTTATGCTTGTTGTAACTGGACAGACAACAGTACGAACAAATAACGAACTGCTACAGAGACAACGTTACAATTGTACACGTGACAAAACATTTCAGAGTACATGTGTGTAAAGGAAAGGGAGAACAGTGAAATAGTGAGGTTACAAGGAGCAGAGGTGGTGAAGGTGCAGGAGTTTAGGTACTGAGGACCAACTGTTCAGAGCAGAAGAGACTGTGGAAGAGAGGAGAAGAATAGAGTACAGGCAGGATGAAACAGCTGGAGAACAGTGTCTGTGGAGGAGGAGTGATCTGTGACACAAGAGTGTCAGCTAAGGTGAAGGGAAAGGTTTACAGGACGGGGGAGAGCCCAGCCATGATGTATGGTTTAGAGACGGTAGCAATAGGCAGAAGACAGGAGGCGGAGCTGGAGGTGGAGCTGGAGGTGGAGGTGGAGGTGGCAGAGTTAAAGATGCTAAGATTCTCTCTAGGAGTGACAAGAATGGACAGGATCAGGAATGAGGTCATTAGAGGGACAACACAGACAGGAAGGTTTGGAGAAAAAGCTAGAGAAGCCAGATTGAGATGGTTTGGACATGTGCAGAGGAGGGACAGTGGAGACATTGGTAGAACATTTTTCAAAATCTGACCAAATTTTTTTTTCTAGAATTAAAAAAAAACATTGTACAAAATATTAAATTTTTTTTTTTAATTTTTCAAAATAAAATCAATTTTTTTCAAAATGCTATTTTTTATGTGAAACATGCAGAAAAGATTAAGTTAGATTTTTTTTTCCAAGATTCATGAAAATCTCACCAAATTTTTTTCTTATACTTTTTTCTAATTAAATTATACTAAATTGTTTTCAAAAAAATTTTTTTTCTAAATTTTTTTTAGAAAAAAAATTGGTCAAAATCTTTGAAAATCTTTCTTTCTGCATGTTTCTCGTAAAAAAAAAAGTTTTGAAATTTTTTTTATATTTTTTGTTTAATTTAAAAAAAAAATTATATATATTTTTTAATTTTTTATATATATTATATTTTTTTATTTTTTTGAAAAAGTTTGAAAAAAAAATTTAAAAAATGTTTATGAGGTTTTTTGTATAATTTATTTAAATTAATAAGTTTTTTTGAAAAAACTGTTTTTGTTCCAAAAAAATAATTATTTCTCAGTTTGTTTTTAGGAAAAAAATTTGGTCAGATTTTGAAAATTTTGATGAAAATCTTTTAAAAAAAAATTTAAATTTTATCCTTTCTGCATGTTTCTTTTTTAAAAAAATGCGTTTTGAAAAACAATTTAGAAATTTTTTTTTTTTTTAAAGTTGAGAAATTGTTTTTTATATAAAAATATTTTTGGACTTTTAAACACAAAATAATCACTTGGCAGCATGTTTTAGGACATAATCTGGCATTTCGGGGACTTTTTATTTTTTTGGATTTTTT